GATTTGCAATTTGATTTTAATATGCTATAGGAAATTTATGAAGTAAATAGTGTGTTCATTTCTTTAATTCTGTCAAGTATGTTGTGTCAAAAGTTTCAAAGACATGCTTCATTTAATTATAGAGTAAAAATAATCTTTAGTTATTACTGAGGGAACAATTTGATAATTGTGTCCTTTTAAAAAAATAAACCGCTTTTTATGGCAACAGAATGCTGGCTGTTGAAATATGTCATAACCTTATTTGTATGGGATGGGTTTCTTCCAATTATTTATTCTATTACTGTTTCTAGCACCTGTGGGAAATGTGGATCCTGAAGTAGTGACTGTATTAATTAAATGACTTTGTGTGTTTCTGTACTGTCCAAGTTTGTCATTGCATTAGAGGGCATAACAGATGAAATTTGAGACTTGTAATGTACTAGTGATTGGATTAACTTCTCCATTTTGTTCAGCCTGCTTGAAGACTTATTTTAGATAAATTAAGAAGATTAAATCTGAAGAGTGACCTTTGACAATTATTCCTCCTGACTGGATCTCTGAAGTCTTTAACATAAACCCAGCATTCTTGTAAAGAAGTTGAACTCTGAACAGCAGTAACTCTGACTGCTGTACAGATTACATTCAGATATTGTATACCCAGCGTCTTTCCGTAGGGGTTTTTCAAATGTTTTGATCTGCATGTGCAATCAATAATATATGCTGAAACCTGTATTGGCCTATAGATGGCATTAGCTATTGGAGTGCATACTATGCCATCTGGTGAAGTTGTAATATGTTATCAGTCTAGGTTGTTAACGCATCACCAATAAGATGTGGTTGTGAGTGACACTGTATGTGTAGTAAATATTCCTCAACTAACCATGTTTTAAATGATAAGGTAGTATTCACTGATTCCCAGAACAGAATGCCCCCCTTCTCAGAGTGCAGCCTACATTCTTTGTTCCTGCATGTGTACATTGCATTTAACCATATTAAAATGCATCTTTTTTGCTCAGTAAACTTGTGCTCATCTTACCAAATTATTCGTAAGACTGGCCATACTGGGTCAGATCAAAGGTCCATCTAGCCCATGTCTTCTGACATGCCCAAAGCCAGGTACTTCAGAGGGAATAAACAAAACAGGTAATCATCAAATGATCTGTTGCTTGTCATCTATTCCCATTTCTGACCAATAGAAGCTAGGGACACCATCCCTGCCCCTTCTGACTCATAGCTAATATCCAGATCACTCTGTATCAGTCACCTGTCCTCTTAATTATTTACTACGCCTGCAATATTTGTGACATCTGCAAACTTTACTAGGGATGGCTTTGTTTTCTTCCATGTCATTAATTAAAAATGTTCAAGAGCATAGGATCAAAAATGATTTTCATGGGATCCTAGTAAAAACACACCCACTCAGTGATGATTCCCCATTTAACATTATATTTTGGCTTTGTCTACACTGCAGGGTTTTTGTGCAAGAAGCTTTTTGCGGAAGAGATCTTCCACAAAAACTTCTTGCACAAAAGTGTGTCCACACCTCAAAAGTGCATCGCAAAAGTGATATGCTTTTGCGCAAGAGAGCATCCACACTGCATAGACACTCTTGCGCAAGAAAGTTCTGCTTGCCATTCACAGAATGGCCATCAGAGCAGCTGTGCTTTTTCCTGTAGGCTCTTTTTGTGCCAGAAATCCCTGTTGAGTGTCCACACAAATCTTTTTGCACAAGAACCCTTGCGCAAAAAGGAGTTATTCCTCGTAGAAAGAGGTATACCTACACCGCAAAAAGCCCTCTGTTCTGCCATTTTACTGTAAATTTTCTTGTGCAAAAATGCACTTGAGGGGTGGACACTCAGGGGGTTTTTGTGCAAATATGTCCTAAAACCCTGTAGTGTAGACATAGCCTTAGAGACATTCAGCATGCTAACAAGGCTACTACTCTTCAGAGCTCCTTGCGGTATAGTGAAACATTCTGAGACTGGGTGTGGCAAGGTATGTTAGATTGATAAATGTATTTTCTCTTCATTTTGTTTTAAGCTTCCATTTTCCCACTGAAATAGTTGTTAGATACAGTGCTATTTCCTTGGCACTCATTGTTTCCTTCAGTTCTCTCATCATTGCCATTTTCTGGATCATACAGTAGCAGGTGTTCGAGTGATATAAACTGCATTTGGCCAAGAAAAGCCAAAATCAGCCTAGTCATGCTTTGTCAGCCTATTGAGTGGTATTGACAAAATAATTTCTAGGCTCAGGTGTTCTGTATGACATTTTACTGTGCTGCCCTGACAACCCTTTACTGTGGATATCAAGGCTAAGGAAAACTTTCTCTCAAATAATATGACACTTAGTGAAACTGCTCTTTTCGGCATTGCAAATTGTTTTGCTCAGTGAATGCAGGCTAAATATTTAATTGTAGCTAATTTTCCAGTATTATCCTCTCCCTCCAGCCCCAGCTGAAAAATTACATCAAATAAATTATCCTATATTGGATGGATTTGGTTCAAACCAATCATTTTTTAAAGCTGAAACTTTTGGAAAAAGAAAACAGGAATGTAACGGTGACCAGTGAATGAGGTATTTTTTCATTGCATAAGCAGTTCTTAAAAATTGGGCTGTTTCTTAAAAATCTAGTTGAGTTCTGACTTCTTGGAATTTGTTTTCTTGTTACACTGCAGATGGTCATGTCTTTTAACTAACCTGTAAAACTCCTGAAGATTGGGATCTTTGTTGACATTGTAAAGCAGTGTTTCTCAACCTTTTTTTTTATAAGGTACCTCTTTTTCAAAAAAAATAAAATAAAATAAAATAAAAAATATACCCCCAATCCGTACATTTTTCAGACGCACACAATTTTTTTCTACCATTGCAACACATTTGTTTAAACAACTTAATCGTAGCCAGGCAGATGATGAAATTTTGGGGTGTAAAAAGTACAAAAATAATAAAGTGCTGTAAAACTTAAAACACAAATTCAGTTTTCTCTAAATTTCAGGTGTGTTGATGTACCCCCCACCACCACCCCAGACTTCTCTCGAGTATCCCTATGGGTACTTGTACCACTGGTTGAGAAACACTGTTTTAAAGTACCAACCTATGGCACTGCTGGATGCTCTAAAATAACAGTTATTAGTATGATAATTTGTAGCATTGTTTGAAAATCAATTGAAAATGCAGTTTAAGCATATCTTCATTTTGTATATCTTTGTCTTAAAATTCAACAGAGATTATACCACAGAAAAGTTCTAGTCTTCTTATGAAGGCCAGTTACCAACCCTTGCAAAGCTTCTGATCATAGATTTTGTGAGTTTCCTTGTCACCTGGTGGCTGGCCTTTGCAAATGAAGCAAGTTCAGTTTTTGTAATCCAGAGTAGGTGCTTCCATTTGGCTAATAAGAGGATGCAGCTGCACCTAAGAATGAGAACAGGTCAAGCTCTGAAGGTAGAACATAAGTAAGGGTGGCAAAACTATGACTTCTGTAAAATAATCTTGCCATCTCCCTGCAACTTCCTTTTGGGATCAGCACTCTTGATTTTGAAAAACACTGGTCTCGCCTGTGAATTCTGTATAGATATGGTAAAAGTACACGAAAGACCAGATTTCACAGGGGAAAACTAGATTTCATTTTCTGTGTGGTGTTTTTCATGGCTGTGAATTTGACTGGGCTCTAGCCATGAGGGCTCCTACTTGGAAGAGGTGGGTTGCACTTGAATTAGAATGTGTGGGCGTGTCTGTCTTAGTAGAGCAGGAACATGGTAAGAGATGTCAGGGCTGCACTGGAGCGCTGGAGCATAGTGAGAGGGCAGGAACATGGTAAGAGATGTCAGGGCTGCGCTGGAGCATAGTGAGAGATGCCATAATTCTATGCCATGCTCTTTGAACTATTGTGGGAGAAATCTGGACTATGGTCATTGAACTCTTATTATGATTTGTGTATGTGTGGGACTTTTGTATTAAATTACCTTCACTTGGGAAATTTTGGGGGACTGTGAAAAGAGTAACTGAGGCGGGCATGTCTATCATTCGCTGGTCTGCTGCAAAGGTGCGTGCCCAACAGCATCACCCTATGACACTCTTTTGCAGTGTTTTAATTATGATCCATTACTTTCCTGGGGCTGTAACACCACAGAATTTAGAGAGATTCTTTTAAAAAGGTGTAATATAAAATGAGCAGACTTAATTTTTACGACGTCTGAACATAAATATTTAGAACTTTGTTTCCTGTTCATCAGTGGATCAAAATATGCAGCTTTTCCCCATACTACTTTAGATGCCTGGAGTGAAATCCTGACTGCCCACTCCATTGAAGTCAGTGAGAGCTTTCTTTAGATGCCTGGAGTGAAATCCTGACCGTTGAAGTCAGTGAGAGCTTAGTCATTGTCTTTGCTTTCCCAGGATTCCATCCCTGATTTCTGTGGCAAGCTCTGTCAGTTAATTGCAGTTAATTTAATCTTTCTGTGACTCAGTTTGCCAATCTGCAAAATGTACCTAAGGTACATTATAACATTTTGTGAGATGGAGTTAATCTTTCTAAACCCTCCTTGAAGTCATAAAGGAAGATTACTTTATATATGTTACATTAAATTGTTTAGGTTTGATCAGGTTTGAGGTTAATAAGTATATATTACCGCTGAACATAAGTAGGTAGGCTAGGAATAGGAATGAAAGCCAGTGCTCAGAAATGTAGCTATTTCAGCATGGAAGTGTAAATGCTACATGTAAATGTTGAATCCTTTACAAATTATACAGTGATTTGAAATCACTCCTGTGAGATTTTGGAATTCCAATAGGATATTTTTCTTAAAAGACAAATGTTATTCTTCACAAAGAATTTTATTTTTCTGATGACTGATAAGGAATTACATGCAAAAGAGAATGAAAGGTGCTTTGTTGTATTGTATAGTAAACTATTACGCATTCTTGGTCTCACATAAATGAAATTGTGAACTGCTATATCTGTGCAAGATGAATGTGTATTGGAAAAATGTACTATTACTGTTTTTTTTCCCCCTTACCTCCAGAGATTTGATACAGCTGCCTAGGAAAGAAGAAGATACAGACATTGCAATGAAACTTCTGGTTCAATGGACTTCTTGTGGCCTTGAAGATGTTCAGCTAGTAAATTACTCTGTCTTGCTTGACCTGCCAGGCTCTTCTTCAAATACAGTAACTTTGAAAAATAGTGGTGAATGCTTTTATCCGAATGGACAGAAGTGTTACAGGGAGACCAAAAAGCTTCACAGCCAAGACCTTCTGTACTCATATGCTGCTTACTCTGCCAAAGGAACTCTCGAGGTAATACGATCATTTGTCTTTGTCATTTACAGTGAAATAGAATTAGAAAACAGCTCCCATCTATCTTTAACTGGCAAGTCATGGGAATGATGGTAAAAATCTCAGACTAGAGATGAGCAAAAAGATTCAGGTAAATAAGATATGGTCCATAGTTCAGCTCAGACCTTGAAATGATGTTATGTAGGGGTTTTTAAAGAATTAAATGTCACCTGTCTCTCAGATGGTGGGTTTACATTTCCTGGATACCAGAGTCTGTGAGAGTATAACTGTGGCACTATTTTGGGATACTTCCAGTATCCCAAAATAGCTGTTCTGCATCTTTTGAACAAGGCTGTTATTTTGAAATGTAACAGGCTCACTATTCTGATGTCTCTGTAAACCTCGTTCCACAAGGATTAAAGGACGTTTCAGAATAGCAGTTTATACAACACCACATTTTGAAATATACAGTGCCAAATTACGAAATAAACTATTTTGACACTAACTAGAAATAAACCACACAATTTGCATTGCTCAAATTGCTGAACAAGGCTGTTATTTTGAAATGTAACAGGCTCACTATTCTGATGTCTCTGTAAACCTCGTTCCACAAGGATTAAAGGACGTTTCAGAATAGCAGTTTATACAACACCACATTTTGAAATATACAGTGCCAAATTACGAAATAAACTATTTTGACACTAACTAGAAATAAACCACACAATTTGCATTGCTCAAATTGCGTAGCTTATTTCAAGCTAAGGGTGCAGTGTAGACACACCCTTAGGGTTTTGTCTAGAACTTTTTCTTCTCCCTGTAGTTGTGAGAAAAAACTGCTCAGCAAACATTGCAAAATAATACTTGAGAAAGGCACACAGAGAAGGGAAGAGGCACTAAGGTCTGGTTTGAGGCCAGAGTTAGGTACCAAAACTTTTCAATTACAATGCTGCACCTGACACATTCTTCCTCTGTGGCCTCTCTCTGGCCTTGGGCAAATCATTGAGCATCCCTGCCTCAGTTTCCACTTGGGGATAATAGTTTTTACTTACCTAGCCAATAGAGATGTTGTGAGATTGAATACGTTTGTAAAGTGCTTTGAAAAAGTTTAGTTTCTTTTCAAAACGGCACGGGGTTCGAATGAGCAGGGAATGCTTTGAAAAAGTTTAGTTTCTTTTCATGATTAAAGTATTAATAGAAAAGCGTGGGTGAGAAATTGAGATTTTGGGGATTCCCCCCTCAAAACCCACAGACCTTTATACTTTCTCAACATTGCCCATCACTATGAGGTTTACCTGGTATTGACTGACTAGCGGGGTAGTGTAGACATACCCTTAGAGTGTCCATGCTACATGAAGCTGATAGAGAAAGTACTAATTGTTCCTGAGTACCCATTGTTTGGTTATTTTATGTCATTAGGATGTGGAATGTAGCTGGCCATCCAGCCAATGTCTTTATTCATGTGTGCAGTTAAATGAGCCTCTGATGTGGTGATTTATGTGGTTAGGTCCTGTGATGATAGTGCTTATATAGATGTGTGGACAGAATTGGCACCAGGGCTGATTGCAGGGGTGGGTTCCTGGATGGGAGGAGGCAGACAGGAGCCAGTGCTTGCAAGGAATTCACTTAACAGCTGGCTTTCTGGGAGCACTGGCTCCTGCCTGCTTTCCCCTATGTGTAAATAAGTAACTGCTAAAATTTCAGATGGTTACACATTTACACAAATACCCAATAGTTAACACCCCTATTATTTTTTAGGACTTCTAAATAATGAAGTAGGCTGTGTAGACATAGATTACATAGGCAATAGTGGTGATTGAATCCTGGATCTTGTATCGGAAAAAGGAAAATCACACCTTTGTCACTTGAGCCAAAGGAATAATTACTTTAGCTATATCAGGGTTTTAAGATCAGCAACTTGAGAGATGCTCACTATCACACCTTTGTCACTTGAGCCAAAGGAATAATTCCTTTAGCTAGATCAGGGTTTTACGATCAGCATCTTGAGAGATGCTCACTGGATTTATATGTGTGTTGTTTTGGAAAAGGCTAGACCCCAGTAGATTATATGTATTTGCTCTCAGAAAAGTCTTTTTCAGCATTTGTAGATCCACAAAGCATAAATCCCATCTGTGGTAATGAACTATGACCACATATTTATTTACCTTGACTGCATTATTAGCAATGATCAAAACTTGGAGTTGGCATGCCTAAAGCACACTAATGTATGAGCTAAGTGTGCCAGTATCTAGAACTGGGAGTAGCAGTTGGTCATTGTTACTAAGATAAGGCAGTAGAGGGAGACATAGTCACATTAAGTAAGCCAGCAAATTACATTTACTTTGGCTGTCCGGCAGCTTGGCTATGATAGAAATTTCAAAGGTTTTTTTTTTTCCTGTTAAAAGATATTTTGCAACAAACTTCCAGTAATATTGAATATTCTTATTTTCAAAATCTAATGCAAATCCTTAGCGTGGGCTGGCTTTGCACAGAATTTACAGTCTGTGCATCAATACAAGTTTCTGATACCAACAATATCTCTTTGAACTTCTAGTTGATAAAGCGATTAAAAAGTTCTGAAATTGTGGTAGCCAGTCTTACTTTTGTTTTGACAGGGTTATTTGTACAATACCAGTGCTCCTTTTCTTTGAAGACCCGTCATGTCCATTCATCATATGGCCATTTCATATGAACTGTCCAATCTGTACTTTCCCTAACAGCCTAAATAGCATTTGTGATTTCTAAAATCTATTTTGAAAGTCATCTTAATGCAGTGTGATTGATGGCGTGCCTTGCTGCTTCTGTGTAATTCACTGTGCACTGGAAAGGTGACACTGTTTACTCCAGCATGAAAACAAGCAGGTCATAGAAGGGTTTTGAAAAGAGCTGTCAGGTCATCTGTGAAAAACATATTGCAGGGGTTATGTAAATAAATTAGCATAAGCCAACTCATGTTGAAGAAACAATGACATTTATGTAATATACTTTTATTAAAAGTTAACCACAATTGAATAGCAAGGTTAAATACTTTGCTTATTTAGCAAAAATAG